AACTAATTAAATTGAGCTATTTATGAAAGATCTTGACGTTTACTTTGCAGCGATTGTTTTTCTCGAAATTGCTCTAGGTAGGACTAAAAAATCCTTAAAATACACAAATAGGGCTACTACATTTTACATTTTAGGACTAAACATTTATTTCTACCATAAATACCCCTAAGGGTATTAATTCATAATGAAAAGTTTAAATTCAAAATAAAATCTTTAAAAATAATAAAAATCGTAAATAATACTAAACAAATCATGCAAAATAATAATTAAAGATAAAAATATTTAAAAAATGAAATTTTTCTTAAAAAATTATTAAAAATTAGTAAAAACCCATAAAAAATATGGATACCTTTGCCACCGCCTCCCAGCAACGCCACCTCCGATTGGTGAAATTTTGCCATTTGTAGTAAAAAATGTCATTTTTCTGAAAATGCCAAACAAATGGCATTATTACTTTTCATAATGCCAAAATTCTTTTTGAATCTGCTATTATTATGGAATTACTAAAAATGTTAGCAGATGTCTAACCGGTGATGGGAGCTGTTGGTGCTGGGGGTGGCATAGGTGGTGGCATTTTTTTATGTTTTTTTTTTGTTCTTTTAAGTTTTTAAAAACAAAAATTATTTTTTTATTTTATAAATTTTTAATACATTTTTTACTTTTTTAATTTTTTTTACGTTTTTATTAGTTTTTATGATTTGATTATTAATTAAGACATTTCAAAAGTTACATGGTATATTTGTCCAAACACACATAAATAATTCTACTAGGATTTAAAATATGTAATTCTATTTGTACTCTTTGGCCACTTTTTGTCCTATTTAGGTAATTCAGTTATTTTTTTTGTCCACGCTTAAGTTTCCAAAACGGAAAAGAAAGAATAAACAAGATCGATGTTAGACACGAATGACAAAAACTACATAAACATATCTTAAAAAGTCAGTATCATTCGGAAATGTGGGCCATTTATTGTACGTTAACTACATTGGTCCCAAGCTGAAGAATCAATTGAATACGCATCTTCACATCAACGATTTTATTAGTAAAATACTATCTTGCGTTCATTTTAAATTGCAACATGTTGAATTTTATACTATTCACATGTTCTACTTTGACTACATTTTTAATTATTAATTTATGAGAATTATTTTTTAAAAAAAATATTGTTCAATTCGTCTCATTACAAATTTTCAAAATGTGTTTTCTATAATTTTTTTACTAATCGAGAATAAGATATATTTATGGTCAAAGACGTGCGTTGACAAATTTGCAAAGTAGATTGTTGCAACTAAAAAAGAACGGAGGAAGTACGCAGTATCATCTTAAATCTTGAACCATTTGAAAGACGGAGCCGGGACCAAAATTGAGGGTGCAATAAAGACCCACAATATATAATTGTATAAATCCTATTGAGACAACCATTTGAATAGAAAAGGGGAAAAAGATAGCATGGGGTGTTGGTCATGGGAAAATGACAAAGAATGAAAGGGTACATTCATGTCAAAGCTAAGATGCAGGCATGCAGTCCATAAATCATATTTGGTGGATTAGTATATATAGGCCAGGTCTACTAGGCCGCTTAGTACTGTTTGTCATGATACAAGAGAGTTTCCAGGAATTTAGATTTGGATCAGCTGAAATGATATCCGATCATACTGTGCTTAAGACAATTGAGGGGTGTGCTAAGTAATGATAACGAAAAAGTATGTACTAATAAAAAAATTGAGAAGAAACTGATTTGATCTGAACTTCAATAATCCACCATAATTCTAACATGGCTCTGCCCTACGTCGTGATTGTTGGTCAACGTTTTGTTTTTTAAACTTGTTTTAAGACAGCATGTCTATTTAAGTCATTCACATTCATTTAGTTGCATTTAGTTATAAATAATACCCTAATGTTGACGTGTGCATGTGTGTGAACATGTCAAAGGGTCATGCATGCATATAGGAGTAGTACGTGGTTGCTATTTTTCCTCAACTGCATTGCCCCATTCTCGAGTTGTATTATATAGGAGGTGGGGTTGGAGGTTTTTTCTGATCCATGTACTGGGTTTTTCCTCCAAGATAAAAGTATTAATCACACGACTAAGTTTGGTGTGAATCTCCTACTATGTTCATTGATGTTACATAGTGTGCGTGTGTTGTTTCATCTGTGTGATTTAGAATCTAGGCCGGAGATAATCCAACAGTGATCGTAGGAGATGATGCATCCAGAGGAAAGTGGAAACCAACATAATATATAGCTAAAAAACCCAAAACTACTCATCAACATAATTATAAATGCATCAACATACTTATAATTAAGTGCATTGCACATATATAAGCCGAAAGTGAAGAATTCCCACTTCAATTCTCATGTTACGTACGTGCTTCTTGTATGGGAAGAATCGATTATCAAAATAGGATTAAAATAGGATTAAAAGCTTGTTAGTTTGCACAAATAGGATCAAAAAGTAAATTATATTTTGATAGGACTAATTATGTGTGGCCTAGGTTGGACAAATATACCCTTGTTGCTATTGAAATGTTTTAATTCATAATAAAATAATAAAAATTCATAAAAATTCATAAAAATATTTTAATAATAATTTAAAAAATTAAAACAATTAAAATTATTAAAATAAAAATAAAAAACACAAAAAAAACTCACTGCCGCCTCTGCCCCCCAGCACCACCACCTCCAGTCACCAAGGAAAAAAATGCCAAATTCATTACGAATGCCATATTTACGGTAGAAAACAATGAAAATGTTGGCATTCTCAAAGAGTAATATGCCATTTTTTGGCATTTAAAAAAATGGTAGTTTTTAGAAAAAATGGCATTTTTTACACCGATCGGAAGTGGTGGTGCAGGCAGGCAGTACCACCACCTCCGATCATCGGGAGAAAAAATGTCACTTGCATTCGGAATGCCAAATTTTTGGCAGAAAAAAATGAAAATGTTGGCATTCTCAAAGATTAATATGCCATTTTTGGCATTTTAAAAAAAATGGCAGTTTTTTGAAAAAATGGTATTTTTTACACCGGTCGGAGATTGTGGTGCTTGGAGGCAAAACAGGCGGTGGGAGAGGCATCCATATATATTTTTAATTTTTTATGGAGATTTACTATTTTTATTTATTTAAAAAAAAAAAAGAAACAACTTTTTTTAATTTTTATTTTATAAGTATTTTTCTAATTTTTTAATGTCTATCTACGATTTTTTGAAATTTGTTCGAATTTATTTTGAATTAAATATATATACTATGTACCTCTGTTCTAAAATTCATTCTAGGCATCCGACTAGTCCCCGCCTAGACGCTAGGCGGTGGTCAGGCGCCCGACTAATTGGTTTGCCGTCTAGGTGAAATAGTCGGCCACCTATGGCGCCTAGTTGCCCGCCCAGAGCGCCTAATCTGCTGCCTAGGTCGTCTAGATTCGTCGAACATTACTTTACTTTTAAATTTTAATTTTTTAAGCGATATAAGTACTTTAACTTTAGACACAAATATAAAGTAAAATGAAGTTGTTAATAAAGATAAAAACTCTATATGTTTGTATAGATACCTAAATACAATATTACTTAACATATTTCTGCAAAAATATAGATAAAAATCCAATTTCTATGTCTCCGACTAGTCCCCGACTAGGCGTCCGCCTAACCGCCTAGGCGCTAGGCACTGGGCTGGCGCCCGTACCCTTCCCCAGGTGAGTCATAAGCATCACTGCATCAATGTGTAGTGTCGTGTGTAGCTCAACCGGTTGAATTGTTAGTGTTCTGATCTAAATTAGGTAAACAAGTGGTATGAAGCTAAGGTTTAAATAGTTTTTAATTGAGGGATTTAGCTAGTACATACTACCTACGTTCCAAATTAATTTGAAAATTTAACTTTTCTTGGTCAAACAGATTCATTTTATTCTCTTAATTAGGATACCAATATTTTATTATATTCTAATTTGGAGTTCGCAGCTTTGAAGAGATTTAAATGTAGTTTCTGAATATGTAAATTTTAATTATCCAAAATTGAATATAATATCAATAGAGAGGATTGACTTTTATTATTATTTGATAAAAAAATGTTGACTTTGCAAAACATTTGGGATGGAGGGAGTATTATTTATGAAGGGGAAAACTGTCAAATAGGTTCTCGAACTTTCATAAAAAAGTCAATTAAGTTCTTCTATAGGAGATTTTGTCCGATCGTCGCGATTTGGGGCGGTTTCCGGTGGAATTTTTTGATGAAATTTTTTGAGCATCTTATTCATCAAGTCTAGTTTACTCATACCAAATTTCAGCTAAAAATGTAATCGGGAGCGCATTCGAATTAATTCGAGAACGCAAAAATGTGCAGTTATCTTCAAGAATCTTTTCGGTCTCTTCTACAAGTGATACGTAGTACATTAAATCTATCATCTTTCATATCAAGAACAGGGTGTTGGCACCGACTCGCCCCAAATTTTGCGAGTGGGTGAGATAGAAATGTCATGATCTTGTTTTTCATTTTGAATATGTTTTAGCCCAATTTGAGTCAAGTAGTCTCTCATTTAATAGGCAAATAAAGGTCCTTTATATATAATAAGCTTCTTAGACTTTACAATGTAGATGTTAAAACTCAGGGTTTCATCTAAAAGGTAAACTTGATAGGAGGAGTAGCCCAAATCCAAGGGTGTAGCTACTAGCTAGGGGGTGGCGTACCCTGCTCTCGACACAGTCCAAATTTGAAAAATGTATATATTTTTAGTATTAAAAAATTGTGTATAATCATTTTTAAAAAATACTCTTTATATCAACCTAGTCCGGTCCAGTGTCCTAGCTTTGCCGCTGCGGCCTGCCCAAAGCCTTATATAGTCTTTTATTGTTTTATAATTTTCCGGTGTGTGACTAATACTTTAACAGTAACAAAGACATGATTTTTAAATATTCAGATAGAATATGCAATAGTTGATCTTGAGCTGCATTCGAAATATATCCCTGATGGTTCAGAGTCTATTTTTGATGTCCACAAACGTGTCTGTGAGAGGACACGAGTGCTCCCCCCATTTCCTGATGATAAGTCCCTTTGCGGTTTCCAACACATCTTCAATGGAGGATATGAGGCTGGGTACTATGGTTACCAGGTGTTTGAAACTATCTTATTTTTTGCACGCTAATTTTCTTAATCTTTGCTTGTATTGTGGTTGCATTTTATCATTTCGTGCTATTCCTGGATTTTTCTCTTCCCTTCAATTCATTGTTTTCTTATGCATTTGCACTCTTTCTTGTAATTTTATTGTTAATATCATTCTTCAAATTCCAATATAAAAGTACGTAACTAGCAATAAATATTCTGCGACCTACAAGAATATTTTATATTCTTGGTTGATTCTTGCATGAGATGTGGTCTAATTAGGGATAGTGATGGATTATGTAGTGGTCAAAGGTTTTGTCCGCTGATGCTTTCTCTGCATTCGAGGATGTCGGACTAGAAAATGAGAAGGTAAAAACAAAACAGAAACAAAATAATGCATTTTCCTCTCTCACTATTTATGTCTGTAATATTCATATTATGGTATAGGAAGTCCAACGATTAGGAAGAAGATTCCGGGAAACCGTGCTCGCACTTGGAGGTGGCAAACATCCGCTAGAGGTGGAAATGAAATAAAAAGCCTCTAAATGCTTCCCTTTATGTGGAGTTTAATTTGTTCCTCTCATGTTGTTTGTTTGCTTTCTTTTTCAGATTTTTATTGATTTCCGAGGAAGAGAACCTTCTATGGAGCCACTTCTTAGGCACAATGGCCTCTTACACTATGCAAATCATAGTGTACAATCTAATCCTCATACAATTAATTATTGTACATATGCCATTTCTTGGCGATTAGTTTATATTTCTCTAATGATTCTTTTTACATTGTTAGTATTCATATTTATGTTCTATTTGGGGTGTAATGTGACATTCCATATGTAATTCGATGTTGTTGGTAACTTTATTCCTACCTTTACTTATGAAGTTATTGTTTGTACAAAAAAATTAACGAGCATGTCACCGGCTCTTTAGCGAGCACGTAGTCCTTCCGTACCTTGACTTCTACAAATCTACGTTACAATTAAACAAATTAAATGTGTATTATTCATAACAAAGAACACGGCTTTCAAAAAGAATAACAAAGATCGAATACTAATCACCAGTCTCTCTCATTAGCTTATGAATTTTTTAATTCAGTTTTTATCTTTGAAATCAACAATTATACAAATATTTTTTGCAACAATGATAGCATACAAAATGTAGTTTGTTGATCTAAAATATCATAATTTTTAGGGAAAAGTGTCAAATAGCCCCCTACTAATACCAAAAAGTCAATTAAGCTCTCGAACTCAAAAAACATCCAATTAAGCCCACAAACTAAATATAACTAGGCAAAACAGTCCTTTTAGCATGATATTAACCGTTCCCAGTTAAGTTGCATGTGTGGCAAATGATGTGGCATGCTTTTACATTTTCTTTTTCTCTTTTTCTCATTCTTTCCTTTTTTCCTCATCTCTTTTTAACCGCTTAATTACCTGCTAAAAGGACAGTTTTGCCTCGTTTTTATAGTTCGTGGGCTTAATTGAGTGTTTTTTGAGTTCAGGGGCTTAATTGACTTTTCTGTATTAGTAGGGGGGCCTATTTGACAGTTTTCCCTAATTTTTATAATTTGTATTTTAAGCTTTTTAAATTTAATTTGACTAGAGTTAAGAACAAAACTTTTAAGAAGAAAAAAATCACAAATGGTCCTTAAGCTATCATCAAAATATCATTTTGGTCCCTAAATTAATAAATTAAACTATCATCATCGTATCATTTTGGTCCCTAAATTAATAAATCTGTCGTTTTAGTCCTTATTGTCTTTAGAACTCGTTTGATAACATTGAAATTGACTGATTTAGCCGAATCTACTTATATTTATGAAGTATGGGTGAAGCGACCAAATTATTGAGAAAATATATTTAAAATATTGGCTGAATCTGCTATATTACGGGAAAATTATATTTAAAATAGTATTATTAATAAATTAAGAAATACTACTAATTACGTATATATGACTATAATAAATGTAATTTACAAAAATATGACTAGTGACTATATGTAGTGTAGTAACTTAATCATAAACTCTTCTTATCAATTTTTAAACTTAAGTGACTATGAGATTATACCATAGTAACTATTAGTCACATATATTTATAAATAAGTTTCATTTATATTAAATTAAAAGTTATATATGAAAAATAACTAAAAACATCATTTATAGTAACTTTAAGTCTTCAACCAATTCAACCAGAAAAATAACTTTAACCTTACTTATTTTGATTATTACATAATTCAGCATGCCAAATTAAAAGTTGATTGTTGAGGTTGGTGAGTCGAAAACAACAAGGGTCACCAAACGGGCATTAGTCTTTATCAATCCAGTTCGTCCTCATTTGTAATAGTCAAGTTGACGAAATGTTCAAGATATTGCATCTAAAATTCGTGTGTATAGCATTTTATTTAGATATTGACCACTTGAAAAATTACATCTTAAAAAAAGATCAAATATAACTATATTAGGAATCAAACAACTCAATTATATGGGGACATGCAGAAAGTAAACAAAGAAACAACGATGGTTAATATTGTTAAGTTGTTTTTAATTGGACCGGTATCTGCTGATCTGATCTAATCTGGTTTGATCTGGTCTTATCTGATCTAATCTGACATAGTCTGTATAAATCTAGCCTAGTCTTATCTGAACTAATCTGGTATGAAAAATGTCTGCTCAATGTGTAATTTTAAAACTATGAAGGTCTGGTCTAGAATGATTTATATAAGTCCGGCCCGGTATTGTGGTTTCGGACGGTAAAACAGTCCAAGTAAAAACATCCTTATTATTATTATTATTATTATTATTATTATTATTATTATTATTATTATTATTATTATTATTATTATTATTATTATTATTATTATTATTATTATTATTATTATTATTATTATTATTATTATTATTATTATTATTATTATTATTACTATTACTACTACTACTACTATTATTGTTGTTGTTGTTGTTATTATTATTATTATTATTAGGGTCAGATAGGGTCTCGAACTTGAAAAACAATGTCAAATAAGGCCATATTTAGGATGTTCTGTCCGACCGACGCCATTTGGGGCGGTTCCCGATGGAATTTTTTGATGAAATTTTTTGAGAATCTTATTCATTAAGTCTAGTTTACTCATATCAAATTTGAACTAAAACGTCAATCGGGAAGGCATTCAAATGAATTCTTGAAGATAACTGTGCAGTTAAAAGCGCAATTATCTTCAAGAATTCATTTGAATGCCTTCCCGATTGAATTGGTAGTTCAAATTTGATATGAGTAAACTAGACTTAATGAATAAGATTCTCAAAAATATTCATCAAAAAATTCCACCGGGAACCGCCCCAAATGGCGTTAGCCGGACATAGCAGCCTAAATATGACCTTATTTGACATTTTTTTTCGAAGTTCGAGGCCCCATCTGACCCTTATCCCTTATTATTATTATTTAAACCTACAACTAGAATACTTGCTTCCGAAGTGGATGTAATGGAGATCAAACGGGTCCTCTGTGAGATTTCGTTTTTCATCTAGACAAATGCTAAATTAATTGGGTGTTCAAAGAATTGAATTAGAGAGTAGTTGTTAGGGAATACTCCACTACTCCGTATTAACTTAAGTTCCACGTAGACTTGCATGCTCGCTAGTGAGCACGTGACGGGCTCTCTAAAATTTCTGATTGTTTGTAATGTTTCAACAGATTACACTAATTGAAACAAGGTTATTGATTGAATGCATGCATTTATTTAAATTTACCAAACTAAAAGTGTGTGTGATCTGCTACATACTTGATTTTGCATACTACCTACTAGAATCAGGTTGCCCCCGCTAGGGATCGGACCAGTCGTCCCGAGGAAGAACCCCTAGATGCCATGAAAGCATTTTAATTCAGAACATTTTTTGTAAACTCTAAATAATACTAAAACATAGATAAAGTTCATCAGTACGACTACCAATGTTTTATTCTCAGAATATTACTCATCACTCCTATATATTTTTGGAAATTTTAATCAAGCTATTCTTTTAATAAGAGTAAATAAGTCCTATTTGGGGAATAAAACATACTTAGTCCTACTTTTATACGATAGTACTTTACTACTTTGTACTACCTCCGTTCTCTTTTAATTGCAACATTGGACTTTTTGCACTATTCACATATTCTACTTTGACTATATTTTATTTATTTATGTATCATAAATTAAATTCTTAAAAAATAGTATTAAATGTTTTTCATTCTAATTTTTCAAAATATGAATTTTTTAATTTTTTTACTAATAAGGAATGAAAGATATTAATGATCAAACTTGTGCATTGGCAAACGTGAAATGTTGACTATTGCAATTAATGAACTATATGTTTTGGTCCTATATAACTATTTTCAGCAATTATAAAATTGCCAACATTTTCCATCCTGCCGTGATGGACAAATTCGCATTTAACTTTCGACTTAAATTAGATAATTATTGTAAGGTGAATTTGGTTTGAAAAATAATACTCTCTCCGTCCCGCTATTAACTTCCTACTTTCCTTTTTGGGCCGTCCCAAAATAATCTTCTCATTTCCCTAAATGGAAAGTTATCCTACATCAAAACAGTGTCAAACAGTGCAAAACAGTGCCAAACAGTGTCTAAACAGTGCCAAACAGTGTCTAAACAGTGTCTAAACAGTAAAGTCAAATTTATTTTCTAAATATGTGTGTAGGTCAAAGTAGGAACTTAATAGAGGGACAGAGGGAGTATGTGGTTTGTTACTATATTTTTATATTTCAATCCAGTTTTCTAAAAATTATATTACTTTTCAATTTTTTCTAACCACCACACTGTCACAAATCACAATTGTTATATCGTACATTTTGTAAAAAAAATCTAACCATCACAGTGTCAGCCGTCAGGATAGCCTACTCGGAATCGTTGTACGACCACCTCTAGTTGAGGTGCTTTTGAGTGAAACTTTTTGATAAAAATTTGTGATCATGTACATAAATGGTAAATTATGTCTACCAGGTTTCAGGTTAAAATTAAATCATGAGGTCAATTAAATAAATTATAAAAATAGAACACTGCGCCAAAATATATACTACCTCTGTCCCAAAAAGAGTTGCAAATTTGACTTTTCTTAGTCAAACTGTCTCGTTTTGTTCACTTAATTAGGATGTCAATTTTTAATTATTTTCTAATTTGAATTTTACAACTTTGAAGAGATTTTAATGTAGTTTTTGAATATGTAAATTTTAATTGTTAAAAATTGAATTAATTATCCATAAAGAGGGTTGACTTTTATTATTGGTTGACCAAAAAATGTTGACTTTGCAAAACAAATTGGGACGGAGAGAGTATAAAGAGCGCAACATTTTTTAAACTGAAATTTGGTGGGAATAACTACACTTCATTAAATACATGGTCACAAAATTTCATAAAAAAATTTACACGAAAGCATCTCAAATGAAGGCCACCTGACGGCTATTCTGATCAAGCAAGGAGAAGATTCATCTGCAACTTATATGCATCTAGTCTGGTCGACTTGGAACTGGTCTTGTTCTTTTTACTCGGTAGGCAAACCACCAAAATTAGGGGAGCAAATGTCGAAGAACATTTGTCATTATTTTATTAGAAAAAGATGGAAAATACGACAGAGAGGGGACTAAACCAAAACATACTCCAAAAATTAATGAAAAATTAATGAAGGCAACAGAAGAAAAACTCGGGGGGACTAGACCTAACCGGAATAAAAATTAATATCTAAAATAAGGAAATCCAAATAAGTTAGTATAATAAATATGCCTTGCATATCTGGGAAACATGTCCGATCCAGCGAAGTAAATGAACAAAATTGGGCCGGAATGTGGTCTGGATCAGCAACACATGGGTTAACCCATTCCC